CAGTGTGAACGAAGCTTCCGGATGAGCCCTTTTGGCTCTTTGTCCTGCAGGTTGGAAAAGGAGTGCCGGCCAGGGTTTTCTAGTTTTGCCCGTGCCCACTTTCCGCTGGCAGCGGAGCGTGGTTGCGATCCGGGGCATCTTTGGGAGAAGGGCTTCTCCGTGGTGAACCTCCAGGGTGCGATCCTGGAGTTTGTCAAGGAAGTGTTTTTTGGTTTGGGGGTCCTCGGTGCGTCGAGGGCTTGGGCCACTGCGATTGGCCTGCAGGACAAAGATATGCGGTCCTACTACGAGTCGTTCGGTGAAGCTGTGGGCGAAGATTCGACTGGGGAATCGAGCCCGGCTGAAGAGAGGAGTTGGGATGCGAGAGAGAGGGCGGTGCGACGCTTTCCGGACAATGCGGGCACGGGCGGCATCTCAAGTGACTCGAAGGACCGCGAGGAGGAGGAACCATGGAGCAACGACAGAGGGCGGCTGCGGATGAGGCAGCCCGAATGGGACGGATGGTCTGAAGATGGGTCCTGGAGGGACCCGCGAGCTCCATGGGAAGATGATGGAAGGAGCCAGGAGACTTGGTCCTGGCGTGGTGGCCGGGACAGTGACCAGAGGAGCACCGAGAACTGGGGCTGGACCAAAGGTCAAAGTGGGCGAGATGACAACCGGCAGAGCGCGGAGAACTGGAGCTGGACCGAGGGTCTGACTGAGCGAGATGACGATCGGTGCAGCATGGAGAACTGGAGCTGGAAGACTGGCTGCAGTGGAGGCGGAGGCAGCCGCGCGGAGCCGGGGAAGAGGTGGCCGAAGGGCCAGCAACAAGGCTGGAACTCCAAGGCGGCACTCTATGTCGGGGAGGAGGAGCACCCCGACTACGAGCTCTACTACAAGGACCAGGACGCGGCCGAGGAGATTCGCGACCGGAAGGGCGAGGTGAAAGTGGTCGGCGAGGAGAACAACACCGACAAGGAGAAACGGGGAGGGGGAAGAGTGTCCAATACATATCCCCCCACCTTCCGGGCCAGGCCTCAGGAGAGCTACGCTGAGTGGAAGCGGGCCGTGGAGTTTTGGATCGGTGGAGAAGGAGGACAACTCCCACTGGAACTGATTGGGCCACGGATGATGGTCCAGCTTCGAGACCGAGCAGGGCAACTAGTGAAAAGGCTCACGAATGCCGATGTTAATGGGCCGGACGGCAAGGAGGTGATCTTTCGGGAGCTCGAGAAGTCCCCGCTGATCAAGCAGGTCGACAAGCACAAGATCGACGAGCACCGGAGGCGCTTGATGCACTTGAACCGGGCCCCTGGCGAGTCGGTGGAGAGCTACAACACTCGAGCAGCCCTGTATCGGGCCCAGCTGGAGGGCTTGGATAGCTCGCTGGCTATGGGGGAGGCCTTCTACGTGGGCCACCTCCTGGACCATGCCCACCTTAGCAAAAGGATGGTGGAGCTGGCGGCCGAGCTTGAGGGCGACCCGGGCTATCCCCTAGGCCTCTCCGAGCCCAACCTGGCTAAGAACGGGGAGGAGTGGATGCTGCAACGAGGGGACCTCCGGGGCCGCTTCATGAACGGTGGGGGCGGCCGAGCGGCGAGCGGGGCTCCAGGCGGTCGAGTGGCTAGACAAGCTTTTGCGGCCGACTGGGACGAGGTGCCGGAGCCCATCCTCGAGGAGGGCGAAGACTCGCTGGACGAGGGCGAGACGCCACCGGAGTTGCTGATCCGGGAGAATGAGGCTTTCGGGATGCAGTACCGGGCGAAGCAGAAAATCGCTGAAGTCAAGAAGCTCAGACAGTACTACCGGAAGCCAGACAATGACTCCAAGCGGCGTGCGCTGGCTGAACAGATGAAGGTGAATCCGTGCCACAATTGTGGCGAGCTGGGGCACTGGAGCCGGGAATGCCCCCACCCGCCTAAGGCTGGAGGCGGCAATCAAGGGCCGAAGGCTCAGCAAGCCTTTGTCGCGAGAGCTCGCCCGACGACCCCGAGCGCAGAGCAGCCGGAGGACCGCGAGTGGGATCTCCTACTTTCCTTGTGCAGCGGGGGGCCAAGCGGCGCCCGAGACTCGACTGTGGGCTCTCGTCTGAAGTACAAGGGCGCGTCGCAAGGGTCGGTTGCACATAGAGCTCTCGGGGTTATTGAGGTCGACGGGTTCGATGTCATGTGGTCCGTGCAAGAGCTTGCCTTCAAGATCATACTGGACATTGGTTGCATGAGGTCTGTGGCGGGGGTTCAATGGGCCAACTTGCTAGTGAAGCGCTGGCGGGAGGAAGGTCGTTGGATGCACGTGCGCAAGGAGAAGGAAACCTTCAAGTTCGGGGGCGGGGAAGTGTTGACTAGTCGCTTTCGTCTGTCGTTCGTGGGGAGCTTTGCGGGACGACCTATAGTCTATGGCTTCAGCATCGTTGAAGGAAACTGTCCACCGTTGTTTTCCAGAGCGGCATGCACACAGCTGGGGGCCATCATTGACTGTGAGAATCACTCAGTGTCTTCGAGAAAGCTTGGAATCAAGAACTATGGCGTAGGTCAGGACAGTGGACACTACACGCTTGCCGTTGATGATTGTGAACCCGAGTGTGCCGTGCTCCCCCCCGACTTTAGCATGACTGAGGGAGCCGATGTGATGCTGCTACATCCGGAAGTTTTGCAGGGGCCCAAGACTAGCGAAAGCACCTCGCCCCGCATTGCCGATGGCAACCGCAGCGCCCCCGAAATGCAAGTTGTGCCAGAGCCCGGACCACCATACCCGCGACTGCCCGACGATCGAGGAAGTGGAGAGCGGGAACGAGTCCTACCAGGTGGTGGGAATGGACCACGATGGCGAGGACCGGCCGAGACGTGCGGCGCCACCACGACCGGAGAACAAGAACACCGTGAAGGGCCGCCGACAATCAACAGCGACAGGGTCTCGGGAGCTGGCTTCGGAGGCCTATGCGACGGTGGAGCCAGCGGAGGGCCTGACAGCCGAGGAGGTGATGCTGTTGAACAAGAGACGGGCCAAACAGGCAGCCTCCAAGGCCCGGGCGATCCAGAAGAGGGCTCTGACTGGAGTCCACGCGGAGTACCCGTCCTTGTCACATGCTTGGAGCAGCGAGGTTGCGTACAACTTAGTGGCCTCCACGGCAAGCCGGATGAGGACTTACCTGTGGAAGAAGCTGGTTTGGCAGCTGAGGATTCGAGCGGCGGTGCAGGCCGACGGCGATCGCCGCTGGAAGCGGAATCCCAGGTGGCTGTCGATGCTGCTGGGGAAGGAGGTGGCCTTTCTCTTCGGCCACTTCGGCGCCATGAGGCAGCGGATGCAGGCGCCCGAGACGTGGAAGCTCATGTGAGGCGAGGCGGGGAAGGTCACCGCCCAAATCGTGGACTCCACCAGAAGATCAAGGGCGGCCTTCGACAGGCCCGCGAGGCCTTGGGCACTATCGATCGGGTGGTGCGCGACCCTGGCAAGAAGCTGGTCCTGGAAGTGTTTGGGGGTCGCGGGACTTTGTCGCGGCTCGCAGCCCAGCGACCGGGGTGGATGGGGGGCCCTAAGATCGACAAGGTTGCCGACTGGGACCTCACCGTGCCGGGGAAGCAGAAGGACTTGCTCAACTTGGTGGAGCAGCTCAAGCCCGACTTGGTGACGTTCGACCCTCCCTGTGGAGCATGGTGCAACCAAGGCGGGGATGCCCTGGCCGAGAGCTCAGTTTGGGAGCGTCGGAGAGAGCAGCTGGCCTACTGGCGGGTGATCGCTGATGTTTGGCGTCTGCAGTTGAGGGCGGGCGCCTGGTGTTGCTGTGTCACCCGGTGAACTCCCAGGCTTTTCACTTGGACTTTATGCAGGCGCGGGGTGATGTGGTGCGCGGGGTCCTACCTCTGTGCAGTTTTGGCTTATGCGACCCGCAAAGCCGGCGGCCCTACCTCAAGAAGGTGATCCTGGAGGCCAACAACCCGGAGATGATCCGCTATATGCTCAGGGGCGCCTACTGCAAGCACGGGGCTACGGGACACCAGCCGATCGAGGGTTACTGCCAGGAAGGTGGGTCCTGGGTGAAAAGGTCGGAGGTGGCAGCCCGATGGCCGGAGAAGCTGTGTCAGCGGATCCTCGAGGCGGCGGACCATGCCCTGAAGGGGGCTGGCTCCAGTGAGTTGGGTTCCCTCCACGAGGCTACTTCAGGGACACGATGGGAGGGATTGGTTGTATCCAACTCTGCGGTCCCGGAGGAGAACTTGCGGATGGAGCTGGCCCGGAACTCAATGACAGGAGAGAGGTACGACTTTGTGTGTTTTGACGGGGCCGGCAATCAACAACCACGAAGATTGCGGGCCTTGGTGGCGCACTTACATGTCACCATGGGGCATTTGTCCAATGAGCGGCTGGAGCGCCTCCTGAAGCTGAGTGGGGCTAGCGAGGCTGCTGTGAGCCTGGCCGGGAGTTTGAGATGCCAGGTTTGTGCGATGACGAGGCCCCCACATGCCACGCCCCAGGTCGCTTACAACAAACCGAAGTTCTTCAACGAGCGCGTCTCCGGCGACTCCTTTTACGTGTGGGATGCGGCGGGCGTGAAGTATATATGTGGCCACCCACTATATCGACGCCCTCACCGATTACCAGGTGGCCGACCTAACAGACAGGCCGGACTCTGCCTTTAGTCGGGAAGTGTTCCAGGACCTGTGGCTCGCGGTGTTCGGCCCCCCCGATACTTTGGTCACGGACGGTGGCCCAGAGTTTGCCGGGAGCCTGGCGGTGATGCTTGACCTCATGGGGGTCGTCCAGGAGGTCGTGCCCGAGGGCGCGAAATGGCGACTGGGTCAAGCCGAACGACACGGAGCCGTCCTCAAGCTGATGGTGATGAAGATGACGAAGGGTATGGACCTTAAGGGGCTGAAGGACATGCGACATGCGCTTTTGGCTTCGGTGGCGGCAAAGAACAGGACCCTCAACCGCGGAGGAATCTCACCGATGCAAGCTGTGACAGGCCGGAACACTATGATCCCTGGGAGCCTTATGTCGCAACTGGCGAGTGGCCGGGTGAAGTTCAAGTACAACGAGGCGGTCGGACACAATGAAGCCATTGCGCGGTCCGAGAGGATAAGGATTGGGGCCCTGGAAGCCTTTCACTGGTTGGACTCCCACGACGCGCTGAGGCGAGCCTTGGCCTCACGATCCCGACCTCCTTTCCTCGAGGGTGTGCGGGAAGGGGCCATTGTGTATGTGTACGATCCGCCGGCCTCAAGACGGGGCCTCGCAAGGCGCATGCAAGACAACAGCAGCTGGACCGGACCAGGGGTGATCGTATGTGTGGAGCGCGATCGCCCTGTACCTCAGAGAGTATGGGTGCGACTGCGGGGTCGGGTCAAGGCCTTTCCTCTGGAGAAGTTGAGACTGGCTACCGTGGACGAGATGGCCAGCGCCCAATTCATCACCCAGGCAGTCACCGAAGTGGAGGAGGAGCTGCGAGGCGGGCAATTACGAGTGGAAGACGCCGGGGCCGAGGCCAGCCAGCCACAGCCCGGAGACGGACAAGGACGAGGCACGGCTTCGGATTCGTCTTCCTCTTCCTCGTCGGATGATGACATGGAGGAGCCAGTGGACGAGGAGGCCAAGGCCAAACAGGAAGCACGCGCCCGACTCCTCGACGACGTGCCTTTCTCAGTGGCCCAGAACCTCGAGGCCAACCGCAAGAGGGACGCCGAGGATGCCATGGACCCTCATGCCTTGGACTTTCAGAAGAAGCAGAAGCTGTTCGAGTCCTTGGCCAAGCAGCTTGAGCCTCCCTCTCCTTTGGAGGAGGCGTCGCTGAGGAAGCATCTGGAGGACACCTACGCCAAATTCAAGTCGGTGCGTCGAACCATTAAGTCCAAACCGCGGGGAGGCCCGGGTCGAAGTCGCGGCGATGGTGGACATGCGTCCAATGCGGATAGGAGCCAGATCCGGACTGTGATGGAGGTGACCCCCGAGGAGCTGGCCCCGACATTCTTCCGACCGGGCGAGATGGAAACTCTACTACAAGACACTGTGGGCCAGTGGAGTCTGTGGGGGGAGAGCTCGCCCCACTGTGAGAACGAGGTCCTCGTCCAGGTGGGTCAACAAGCGGCAAAGGCGGAGGCAGATGGGCTCACCGAGGTTGTCACGGGCAAGGCCAGAGTGGAGTTTCGTTGGTCACAATTGGACGATATCAATGGAAGCGGGCCTTCATTGGCCCTCTGAAGAAGGCGGTGGGCGTCTACCTCGAGCATGGCGGGATCCGCGGTGTGGCGCGCGACCAACTCGTTGACCCTGCCCGTGTGCTTAGCTCGAGGTTCGTTCTCACCAACAAAGGTGGGCCGGAGCTGGACGAGGCCGAACTAAAGGCGCGGTGGATTTTTGGGGGCCATAAGGATCCAGATGCTGGACTCTATGCGACGGCGTCCCCGACGGCTAGCACTCTGGGTCACAACTTGCTCAACTTCGTGGCCGTGCAGAAAGGATGGGTGGTGCACTATGAGGACGTGAGTGCCGCTTTCCTACAGGGGAAGGAGCTGCCCCGCGTGGAAAAGGTCTACGTGAAGGTGCCCCACGGCTACCCTCCGGAGGTCCTCGAGTACCTGGCCGAGCAGCTGGGGGGGAATGTGCGGACGGACATGGTGGAGTTGACTAAGGCAGGTTTCGGGCTGCCCGAGAGTCCGCGGCTTTGGTACCTGGAGTACAAGGACACAATCGAAGCTCTGGGACTCAAGGAACTGGCCCTCGTGCCAGGGCTGTTCCGGGCCTTCCATGTGAGTGGAGCCCTGAGGGCAATGGCTTCGATTCATGTGGACGACACCAGGTACGGAGGAGACGAAACGAGCCAGGAACTCTGGGATGCCCTTCACGCCAAGCTTAAGTTCGGCAAGCTGCGCAAGGCGACGGAGGGCTGGCAGAAGTTCTGTGGGCGATGGGAGCGACAATGCCCAAGGACCTTAGAGATGGAGTACTCAATGACGGAGTACACCAAGCAAATACCGCTGGCGAAGGTGCGTGAGGGGAATGGGCAAGATGATCCGATCCCCAAGAGTTCCGCCCCGGCAAGTGTGATAGCTACCTCGTCTTCTACCTCGATTCCCAAGAGTTCCCCAACGGCAGGTGTGATAGCTACCTCGTCTTCTACCCCGATTCCCGAGAGTTCCTCAACGGCAGGTGTGATAGCCACCTCGTCTTCTACCTCGATTCCCGAGAGTCCCTCAACGGCAGGTGTGATAGCTTTCTCGTCTTCTACCTCGATTCCTGGGGGGCAAGCTTCAGTTGAAGACGCAATGGTCATTCAGCTCTTGGCGGACGCCATACACAAGGCAGTGGATCCTAACGATGCTTTGACAGGAGGGGAGCGGAAGGTCATCGGCTCGGTCGTGGGTCGCTTGAACTGGGCCGCGCGTCAAGGCCGTTATGACCTGGCTTTCGTGGCATCCAGCATCCAGCAACTAGCAGGTCGCGGTGATCCAGCTGCCTTGCGAGTGCTGAACCAAGGGGTGAGGCGTGCTAGGGAAGACGTGGTCCTGCCGATTCGTAACTTGGGTTGCGACTTGGCAGATGTGGTGGTCGTGTCGGTCAGTGATGCGGCCTATGGAGCTATGCCAGGAGGACACAGCCAGGCAGGCTTGCTGATCCTGCTGGCCTCGCCCGACATCCTTAAGGGTGAGGCTCCCGTCTGTGCCATCGAGGGCACGAGCAGCAAGATTCAAAGGGTGGTGCGATGTTCTATGTCGGCCGAGGTGAGTGCCCTGGCTACATGCTTCGAACACGGTGACTTCGTGAGGGCCGTCTTTTGCGAGTTGATAGACCATCGCTTCGATTTGAAGCGATGGAAGCTGTCGGTGAGCCGGTGGCCGCACTACCTGGTGACCGACAATAGACGGGGTACGACGATCTGAACAGCGACATGTTGCCCACCGACCGCAAGGTGGCCATCGACATCGCAGTGTTGCGACAGGCCATAGTCGATGACGACACCAACTGCTTTGTCCGTTGGGTGCCAGGTTCTGAGATGCCGTGCGACGGACTTACAAAGTGGTTGGACAATCACACCCTGCTTCGACTACTTACGACGGGCAGCTGGGCCTTAATGGACAACCCTCAGGCCCAGGAGCTGCGGCGACAAGCAGGTGTGAAGCGGGCAATGTGGCGAAAGGCCGCCAAACAGACTCGAGCCAGCCCGAACCCTGCTCCAGAGGGGGTGTGACTCGAAGGGAGCATAATATGCAGGATCGGCTCGTCTGTTCACTTTCTTGCCGGTAGCTAGCAGTGTGAACGAAGCTTCCGGATGAGCCCTTTTGGCTCTTTGTCCTGCAGGTTGGAAAAGGAGTGCCGGCCAGGGTTTTCTAGTTTTGCCCGTGCCCACTTTCCGCTACTACCACTACCACTACCACTACCACTACCACTACCACTACCACTACCACTACCACTACCACTACCACTACCACTCCCACTGCCAC